GCCAACGGTTGTAAATGTGCCGTAAAGAAAATGGTATGTCGCTCCAGCATGTCAAGCTTTGTGATAATGCAGCTTTTCTTTTTTTAATTTAGTGTTGCATACTACCCCTTGCATTCAGGCAAAAAAAAAAAAAAAAGGTAGTTTAGAGCTGATTTAGTTTCGTGCAAGGCTGCACAGACAAGATGCCAGCCTAAGAGAAGGGGATGAAACATGCAGCTGGGAAATAGAACCCACGTTTTTGGGCAGAAGCCCATTCTTAAGAGTGGCTCAGTATTTGAAAGTACAGCTTTAATCATCAATATTTTAAACTTAATAGTAAAAGGTGTTTACTAAAACATATTCTAAACCATTTATGCTGGCATTTAAGGATTATCGTCACTTTCTATGTCAAATGCTGCAGTTTTTGTTCCTTTTTTGTCCTTTGGTCTTGCAGCTCCCTCTGCTGGACCTTTTTGCTGTTGCGGGTGAGGAAAAAAGTTACAGGGGACAATCCAAGACGGAGAGTCAGGCTGTTCACTAAAGATACGGATTATAATTATAATTATGCTATGAATTATAGCATCATAGAATGGTTTGGGTTGGAAGGGACCTTAAAGACCATCCAGTTCCAACCCCCTGCCATGGGCAGGGACACCTTCCGCTAGACCAGGTTGCTCCAAGCCTCATCCAGCCTGAGTCTGGTGCCGAGTCCAGCACCAGAATCCAGCTGAATTAATGTTTTTTAACACAGAGCAAAACTTACATTAGAGTTAAAGGCATACTGCATAGCAGCATGCGGGTGTGTAAAAACTTCTCTAAGAATAACTGTATCTAGGTTGCTGAATAATTTCTTTCATAAAAGTATCTTCTCCTAATAGTTACTTTTTACCACAAAAGTACATTGGTAGAACAACCATAAGGTCCAGAATAATAAACCATCAAGGAAGCTGTCCAGCAACTAGGAAATACTATATTGCAAAACCAAAACACTTGCTGGTTATGTAATTTATTTATTCTTTAATTTTTATATATATTGTTTTGCTTACTTGAATTCATGATCTCAAGAAATATGGGCCAGATATGGGTAAAGTGAAGACCCTGAATTTTAGGAGAGTGAACTTTCAGTTGTTTAAGGAACTAGTGGATGGAAGCCCCTGGGAAACTACCCTCAGTGATTAAAGAGCGGAAGAGAGATGGAAGCTCTTAAAGGATATTTTCCTTAAAATACAAAAGTTCTCAATTCTTCTTTTTAACAAATCAGGCAAGACAGGCAGGAGACCAGCATAGCTGAGTGAGCAGAAGGTCCTTAAAGTGCAAGAAAGGTATAGGCACTGGAAGCAGGAATATGTGTCCATAGGGATGCTGCCTGGGTGTATAGGAATAGGATCGGGAGAGCTAAGGCACAGTTGGAGCTGAATTTGGTCAGGAATGTGAAGAACAGGGGATCCTACAGGTATGTTGGTCAGAAAAATAAGACTTAAGAAAATGTATATGCCCTCATTGCCCAATAGATAAGATAGGAGATCTAGTGGCAACCTACAAGGGGAAGGCCAAGGTACTCAGCAGGGGGTTTTGCCTCAGTTTTCACTGGCAAGCACTCATCCCATATCTCTCAAGTCCCTGAACCTCAAGGTAGGGACAGGGAATAAAGTCTCTTCCATGGTAGAAGACCAAGTTCAAGATGATCTGAGGAACCTGAACATAGACAAGTCCATGGGACCTGATGACATGCATCCCAGAGGCCTGAGGGATCTGGCAGCTGCAGTTACTAAGCCAATCTCCATTGCATTTGAAAAGTGGCAGTCAGGCCAAATCCCCAGTGATAGGAGAAAAAGGCCTATATTTTTAAAAAGGGTAAAAAGGAGGACCCTGGGAACTACAGACCAGTCAACCTCACCTCTGTGCCTGGTAAGGCCAGGTAACAGATCTTCCTGAAAGTCGTGTTGAAGCATATGGAAGACAGGGAGGTGATCTGAGACAGCCCACGTTACAGACCAGTCACTAGTGGCCTTCACCTAGTGGCCTTCTATGATAGAGTGACTACATCTCTGTACAAGGAAAGGGCAACCTGAACTTTTCTAGGGCCTTTGACATGGTCCCCTACAACATTCTTGCCTCTAAATCAGAGAGGTGGCTTGGATCGATGTGCTGTTTGATGGATAAGGAATTGCTGGATGGCTGCATCCAGAGACTTGCAGTCAATGGCTCAATGTCCAAATGGAAACCAGTAATGAGTGGTGTCCCTCAAGGGTCCATGCCGGGACCAGTATTGTTTGTCTTCCGTAATGACATAGACGGTAGAATTGAGTGTAGCCTCAACAAGCGTGCAGCAGACATGGAGCTGCGTGGTGCAGCTGGGATGCTGGAGGGAAGGGATGCTGCATGGAGGGGCATTGACAGGCATGAGAAGTGGACCTGTGTGAAACCCATGATCTTAAACAAGGCCAAGTGCAAGCTCCTGGATGTGGATTGGGGTAATCACTAGCATTGGTACTGGCTGGGCGGAGGAGAATGGCTTGAGAGCAGCCCTGCAGAGGACTTGGGGGTGCTGGTAGATGTAAAATAGGACATGAGCCGGCCGTGTGCGCTGAGTCCAGAAAGCCAACTGTATCCTGGGCTGTATCAATAGAAGCGTGACCAGCACATTGAGGGAGGGGATTCTCCCCCTCTACTTGCTCTCATGAGACCTCACCTGGAGTACTGCATCTAGCTCTGGGGCTCCCAGTGCAGGACAGACATGGACCTGCTGGAGTGGGTCCAGAGAAGGGCAATGAAAATAATGAGAAGGCTGGAGCACCTTCTGAGAGGAGAGGCTGGGAGGTGGGGTTGTTTGCCCTGAGAAGGCTCCAGGGAGACCTTACTGTTGCCTTTCAATACTGAAGGGGGGCTTATAATAAAGATGGAGAGCAACTTTCTACCAGGGCATGCAGTGACTGCACAAAGAGTAATGGTTTTAAACTGAAAAAGGGTAATCTTAGATTGTATATATATGGAAGAAACTCGGTGGTGAGGCACTGGAAGAGGTCGCCCAGAGTTGTTGTGGATGTCCCATTGCTGGAAGTGTTCAAGGTCAGGTTGGACGAGGCTTTGAGCAACCTGATGTAGTGAAAGATGTCCCTGCCATGTCAGGGGTGTTGGGTTAAATGATCTTTAAGAGGTCCCTTCCTACCCAAACTACTCTGTGATTCTATTACCAGTTCTCACAGATGAGGTGTTTTTTAAGCCTTTGCAAGAATTGAATATTTACCATTGTTCCTACACAACAACAATCAAATAGAAAGAGTTTTGCAAGTGTTTCACTGTCCCCCTTTCCTGGTCTGACAATAACCTTAATTTGCTGCATTACTGTCTACCAGCTCAAAATCAGGCATTGTGAGAATACTGTATTTACACAGGTGAAAAAGAGCCCAACTGACCTATCTTGATTGATGCTGTATCTTGTTAGATGTGTGTATCTTCTCATGGTGACTTGTAAAACAGCCTAGCGATTGCTCAGATGACTTACTTCACCTGTTAAGGATAAATAACTGAATCGTTTTGAAGCGAAGGTATTTGTTACTACAGACACCACCAATATGATCATAAGCTTGCCTTTACCTCTTGTCTTCCTAGTATTACAGTGGCCGCTGTTAATCTCAAAAAGCTAAAAACTGTCAGACAGCAATACAGAGTACTTTCTTTGCTTTCTCTACTCTACATTTTTTTACTTCTCCTGTTGTCTTCATGCTCAGAAGAGGTAGCCAAGATATTCTGAAGAACATACTATCCTGCATAATAGCTTTGGCAAAGGTGTACAAATTTCAGAGGTCTGCAAACCCAAGAACAGTCTGAGCATGTTCAGAAAGAAGAGACAGACACATTTTTTTTTTCCCCAATCTGAAGGAATATTACAAACCAACTCAATTTAATGAAAATATTGCAGAAGATTTTAATTGAAATACAGAACAAAAGCTGAAACAAAGCTTTCTGAACAACTTCACTGGCTAAGCTCAAGTCATCATTCGTTGTTCTTCCACAGAAAGACAAACGTAAATCACCCATCCATTTACTCCACTCTTTTTACAAAAAAAACCCAAACTCAACCAACCAGAAAGCCCAAGCAAAAGCAAGCAGCAATCCTTCCTCTGAAGTTTTTAAATCTCAAATATATTTAGTGAAGTACTTAAGTACTTTGTGGGACGTGGGATGCTGAAATATGGAAGTGGGTGTTTCCAAGGTAGTACATTATTCCCTGAAGTTGCTGATAGCTTTCTGGAGCTAAACAATTTATTTTTCTATTTTTTTTAAATTGCTAACAACTTGAAGATAAAAATTATCATGAATAAAGATGTTGAGAATGCACTCAATCTGAGAGATGACCTTGTGTAAATTATCTCTACCTTTGAAAAAAATGGGAAGTTTTGAATAGATTACCATTAGTAGAAAGTATTTAGGTATATCAAATATATATATTAACTTGATAATAATTTCTTTCAAAAGTGACCTTTAGCTCCTAAATCTCTGTATACATATGTACACTGGGTTTCCCAAAACTGAAAGAGAATAGACTGTGAGATTTCATTCATTCCTAGACACACATCAGTTGTCAGATGGATAACTTCGGGAAGCGTAGTAAAAATCCTTCAAATCAACACATACTTGTTCTGAACAGAATATATACTTAAATTTTCAGTGAGAAAAGGACTTGTGTGACCCAGCAGACAAGTGTTGCAGCATATTCTGCAATTAGTATGTAAGTAGGAAAGATATGAATGGCCCAGTATAATTATCTTCATATAGCATTTAAATTAATTATTGAGTTGATGATTATGTTAAATTTTCAGTAGCTTCTAAACACGGAAAGTGGCACAACTCTGCTGTTCAAAGTACTCAAAAAATTAGGTACGCATAAATCTCAAACCACAGGCACAAAATGCTTTGCCAGAACAGAGGAATATTTTCCTGACTATTTGGCAATGGGTGGAAAGGACCAGAACCACACTGTGTTGTTAAAAATATTCTAGCTTTAAACCAAACAGATATCATAATCTGCTATTGCAATCTGAACAATCAGAGTTTATCATCAATGGATTCATATGTTTATATTTTGCTGGAATATTAACATAGACAGCATAATTGTTGATGTTTTTTATTACTATCCTGTGAAATACACTACCCTCTTTCATGAGATCTTCAACCTTCTTATCTGTTGACATCATCGTTTTCTTTTCTCCTGTATAATCTGGATCTTCTGGATATAACTCATCTCCTGGGGGCAGAAAAGAAGTTTACTTATACAATGCCGACTTATTTTTCAGCCTTTGCTAGTGTCACTCAGTCAATTTAAAGTATTTAGTAGGACGTGAAACTCTGTGGGAACATATTTAAAAATACAAAAGTAAATCGCCTCTGAACATCTTCAGATTTAAAGATGCATCCATGAATTTCGGAAGTATGTCAGTGACACGGCAGTGCACATTCAAGGTGTTGATTTGAACGTTCCTGATAATGCTAACATGCTACAATCACAGCCTGGTCAGATAGGAGTTTGTTTAATAGGTGGAGAACAAGACAAATACTTTTCCAGGTGTATAAAGATAGGCTACAGTAGGACTAAGAATAGATACTGTTATTTTCTTCTCTTTTGTTGAAGAACAAGGTGGTTTGCCATAAAAATGCATGTTATGCTCGTGCAAGCATGCTAATATACCACAAATACAGAACTTCCAGAGGTCAGTGACTGAAAGCCAGGAGAAAGCGTAACGAAAAGTAAACCAGAAAAGCAGAAAATGATCAATAGTAGACACAGCTTTTTTTAAGAAGTCAAAAATGTACATGATTATGAGAGAGCAGGGCAGGAGGAAATGACTTAGTGTCTCTCTGCAGGTCACTGCGCAATTGTGAAGACCGATACTGCAGCTGTGCTTGACCCACCTGCCCTTCCAAAGACAAACAGGTAAATGGAGTAAATGAGAAGGACTAAGTAGGAGGAGTTCTAATACATCCTTCAGATTAAAAACAAGTTGAAATGCTAGGATTTCTTCATAAATACGTATATTAATGGCAAGCATGAGACGATGAGGTGTGAAGGGTAAATACAGAAACAACTCTGCTGCCTGTCTGATTCAGGAGCTTGTCTGACAGCAGCCACTACCAACTGCATCAAAGGAGGGAGCCAAACAGTAGGAAAAAGCGTGCAGTAACCTCTTCCTTACAGTTAGATGGGTTTATATCATGTGGCTTGAGTATGTATTAATTCCCAAGCTTTTTAATATTTAAAAGAACCTTTTTCTGTTTCCTTACCTGGCAGCAGCTGAATGTAGCCATCGGAAGCGGTTAACATCACAGGCAGCCAGCGTTCACATCCCTCTAGAGCTCGAGCAGAGCTGAACTGGTGCAACTCTCCGAGCGACGAGAAGTTGCACAGCCTACACACTTCATAGAACTGAGGTGGAGGAAACCATATTTCTTGAGTTTTTAAGTGTTCAATGGCTTCCGGAGGTGATGACCACTGTAAAATGAACAGAAGCCTTGAAATAACAGTTTAATCAGCAAATGGTAACTTTAAAAGCCGTTAGCAAGGAAGTCTTCACAGAAAAAGAGCTGAAACAGTCCACATTTTCTGAACTTGGTAAAAACCATATATGAACTATATCAAAATGACAACAAAAAAAATTAAAGTCATAATAAAAGTGATCTATAAAAATCATTCTTTTTTTCCAGGAAAAATGAGGTTTTATTTTACACATAGGCATGGCCAAATTTGGAAACTGAGACTGATTTTAGGGGCCTGCCTCAAAGTCTACTGAAGCCAACAGCAAACCTCAAATATGAACTCAGTTAACTCGTCAGAGGTCGTCGCTACTGATGCTTCGAGAATTAAAAGTACCTCTAACCGTCTGCTTCCTGCACACACGGTTTTCAGGGCCTGAACCCGCAGCTGCTCCTGCTCAAACACTGCGTTGCTCTGCATGTTCAAGCTCTGGGTAACCTTCATGCCATCTCGCATGGCGAGGTGGGTCACCTAGAAGTGTGCATGAGCTTCTGCAGTAGGTTTATGCTGAGTAACAAACCCAAAACGAACAGGGCAAACAGGACTAGCAGCTCCTGCAGCCCTGAGACGCTCTGTACATCCCACGCGGGTCCCTCCGAGCACACCGAAGGTTACGGGTATGACAGCGCTGCGAACGGCTGTAGAGAAGCGCTGCCTTGGCATCCACCTTGGAAAGACAGTCTCATTCCAGGCGAAAGCGACCCGACGCGACACACACCCTGCGCCGTGAAACACCACGTAAAAAGACCTTGAAGGACGGCTCTCGGCCCGCACTACGGCTGCGGCCGGTCGAGGGGGCAGCGGCG